CTTTAGTCAAACATATTTACCAAGTATACCATTGGAATATTGACAGAGAATTGTTTGAGTGCCAGAATGTTTTTCCTAAGTGGGTAAAATGAAGACAATCTTACTGCTACTTTGTGCATTTGAAGCAAAAAAAACAAGACCCCTTACTTGTCGCCTGCCTGCCGGATGAGTTTGGCTGCATGACTGACGTTCATGACTCTGACTCCTCCCACTGTCAGCAGGATGTCACCCTGTAATAGGACAGAAACAGTACATGTTTATCAAGACCAGACTTGTACAGTTTTTACCATGTTCTGTATCATGTACCACCACCTACCCTCCTCTGTACAAAGTGTCCTTGACACTTCTACTCTGCTGTGGGTCTGAGCATGCAGCCACCTACGACACCATCATTCCCTGGACTGAGGGGTTTCTGATTCAGGCACGAACACTTGGTCTACAAGCCACTGCCGGTGATGACGTCACGTAGCACAAGTTCCATGAAGAAACGACTGTGTGCATGAATGATTAAGCTAACACAGTGTGGTGAAAAGTACATGTAGTTGCCAAGGAGGAACCTGCTGTAAGCCTTTCCTGGAACATTTTGAAGTTGAGCCCACGTACCTTTTGGATGTCCACCCTGCTGACAGGAGTGTTGGGGTCGATCCTGTCCACCACCACCTGCTGGTACATGGAACCTTCAATGGGCTCCTGAGGATGGGGACAAACAAAGGAACAGGGTCAGAATTACATGTGTACCACCAAGGTTTATCTGCATGCTGTAACAGTTGTACTTTCCTAAGCAGTCATAAACATGTTATGGCAACTCCGATTTTTTGTTCCCCAATTTTTTCGGGGTTGCCATTACGATATCGGTTGGCACCCAAGCTAGGAATTTACAATAATTATTAGTAGACAATATTTTCTATCCAACACAAATGACAGGCAAGACTAATTGCCTTAAAGCTTGAAGTTTCATATAAAACAAAACCATACCAATTGCCATCCAATCAACCAAGGAATCAACTAACCTACATTCAACAAAGAAACACTATCATCTACCATCATTGTCGCGAACAAGGTTGGCTATCTGCTTTTTCGTTTATTAGTACAGTTACACAAAACAAATTACAGAAATTGACGTGACAGCCTGGTATGGTACTCACATCTCTGAAGGCGATGCCCAGAGTTTTGGACTCTCCCTTTGCCAGCTCCACATCCTGGGCAAACCAGAAGGACCGTTTTTTCCCCGTCCACTGGTTCCAGGTCGACTCATCTGGGGGATATCAAATTCAAAATGTTAATATCATTATTTTAAAAAATGATTAAAAAATGATGTCCATTTAACGATCACCTGACCTAATAAATGTTTTGGCAACTTGTCAATTGCTGTCATCAAAGATGATTTTTTTTGGATAGAGAGAGACTAGTTTACTATGTGTTCATCTCAAAGGTCACTCTGTTCAATACTAAGTATTTAAATACAAAAAAAAAGTTAACATGTAGGGCCACAAAAAGATGACATCCTTTATATACAATCTTTTGGAAACTTACCTATACAGAGTGTGCAGTACACCACACAATCCTGGAACACCCGTGGGAGACGGCTACACTCCACGATGGTGACCTCCAGCTGACCCACCGTGACCTTGTTGTCATGGAGATAGACGTCGTCAGGAGCGTTCAGCTGCTCCTGGTAGTCAAAGAACGGCTTGAAACGCAGCTTGTAGTACGGCAGGGTGTGCTTCTTACGGACAGAGCGCCGGATCTGGAACAAAAGGAAATTTCATCAATTTCAATAGCATACTAAGGGCCACAGGAGAGCCAAATTAGCTAGAAATGATATGATTATGAAACATGCCATCCAGGCAACATACAGAGTAATCATGAACCAAAAAAGAGGTAATCATTCAGTTCAGAGAGATTACATAGGCCTCTGCAATATAATACCATACCATACAACTTGATATGTGATACCTATTCCAGATTAGTACAACTTCAAGGGTTGTTTCTGCCTTAATGTGGAGAAAATAATCATGGTTATTTCTCACCTAAAAGTATGTAAATGATTGTTTGTAGTCTTGAATTAAGCATTTAGAATGTCACAATCTTCCTGCAACATTATGTGCTTGTAACATGATGAGAGTGACTGATAAGATTTTATTTTTTTATCATAAACTCAGTATACATAAAATAACTGTCATTTTCTTTCATATAGTAAACTTTGTCATGGTGGTGGTTTCAAAAGATCATAGTAAACCGCAAGTATGTAGCTGTGTAGACTTATTCAAAATCATATAATTATCAGACCTGGTGTCTACAACTGACAGTACTACAAAGAATGCTCTCTGGAGCTGCTAAATATTTTAGTTATGATTATTGACCAATTTTGAAATGTAAAACAGTTATCACAAGTTCAAAGCAGCAAAAATTAATGACCATGACAAAGAAGGAAGAAGAAGAAGAAGACAATAGAACAGTGAAATGTTTTGAAGAAGCCCTATACCTGCCTGTACCATGACCCACATTCTACACAGTCAAGCATGTGAAACCAAACCTGAGTCCTTTGTTGTTATTATATAAACAAGGAAAACATTTTGCATTATAAGACATTGGTACAGAAAAAGGGAACTGAAAACCAAGTTGTCACATGTTTGTTTCACATTTTTGCTTGCAGTAAATATACAAAGCATGAGCTCTATTGAAAACTATTGTCATTGGTTGAAAAAAAAAATCAACGAAATTGAAACCTATTTCACCCCTTGAACAAAACACACAACTGTATTTTCCTGGCCTGGTCATCAGTGTTACAACTTAATTAGTCTGTTGTCTTGCCAAGGTAATTACAGACAGCACAATTAATGAGCAGGTGTAGCAGACCCCCGCCCAACCTTTGGCGAGACAGACACAATAGGTTGTCAGGTGACATTTTTTGTCCTGACACGCCCCAGTACACCTGAGGCAGCAGTTACCAACGGCAGACGCCATTGCACGACGCAAGGGAAAACAGTACGTATCATCTCCATTTCTTCACCAGATCATGCCTTTAGTCAACAAGATTTGTATACATGCAACTTGAAGACTCAGTGTCTCTTGATTGTGTATATGGTAGCCATTCGAGATGGAAATATAACTAGAAATATCACTAATAGGTTCCTTCCATGTTAATTACATGCACATGTAGTCAAAAAATGTACAGAAGACAGACTGTTTTCTAAACCTTCAAGGACATATTTAACACTCATGTTCTGTAAAAAAAGCTGTGTTAAATCATAATATTCACATCATGTTGAATCTGTTGTTTCAAGAATCCTTGCATGCATATATCGTGTGAGAAACTGCATGTTGGGGTGGGGGTGGGGGGCAACATTCGTTTTGTGACGTTTGAAAACAAGGATGCATCTAAATGATCTAATGTTCAAAATACCTGAGTTGGGGGAGGAACAAAATCACAATGTTGGAGAAGGACACTTTCCCATAAGTTTAAAATACATCTTTTATAACACCCCTGTCCAAATGTATGTGTAAAATGTGGGTAAAACTTTTTGTAGGACACTTACAAAATGCAGACACCAACAAACATCCACAATCTGCATTTCTGCTTTAATCAATGACAAAATGCCAGATTGCCAAATTTCTATTTTTCAAATATGTCAGGTATATGGTAGTCGTACATTTACTGCAGTGCCACATAAATTGTCCATACCAAACTGACAAGACCTGCACTATGTAAACAACAGGTAAGCCTTACCACTTCATGGTACATGTAATGTTAGAAGGGTTCTGTTTTCTATGCAAACAATGCTTCCTTGTCAGGTACAATTTGTATGAAAGAAAGCAGACAACTACACACTCAAACCACAGGGACTGCTTAAAGAGAAATTTGATCTTAGAAGACTTATCGGCCTGATAGTTACAGCAGAAATTCACTTAACCCTCTCACCTGTCTCTCTATTTCATATCATATACCTAGATTCATATGGTTCAAATTGGTCAGAAAGAACACACAATGTTACAACATTATAGTTTTCCCTCTTCCTTTTTTCTGGAGTAGCCTACATAATAAGCAATGTTTCATTTTGCAAAATGGAGTAAAAATACTGTTGATTATCCCAGTCATGGTTCCAGGACATTTCTGTATAAAAATGAATCACTATTTCTAACAGTCACTACTTGTCTTTCAGCCGTGACCATGATGGCTCACAGACAACATGTCCCCCTGGTGCCGTTGTGTCTCCTGTTCCTGCTCCTCTGTCCCACCACCGGTGCAGACGACTGTACCTGCAGCTCTCAGTACTTCTGCAACTGCAACAGTCAGAACCTGACGGGGGTCCCCCAGTCCCTCAACTCCTTCCTCACCATCCTCGGCCTCGGAAACAACCGCATCACCACGCTCGACAGCGACGCATTGAACAGGTATCAACAGCTGGAACACCTGTACCTGTACGGCAACCGCATGACCACCATCTCCACCGGAGCCTTCAGAAACTTGGAGAAACTGTTCGAACTCGAACTTGAGAATAATGAGCTTGTTGTTCTTAGAGCAGGGGTGTTTCAAGGGCTTGGCAACTTGCATACGTTAGAGTTAAACATCAACAAGCTCAGAACAATTGAAGCAGGTGTGTTTAGCTCCCTGGGCTCTCTTGTTGTGCTGTACTTACACTACAATGAGCTCCAGGTCCTAACACCGGAGATGTTTCAGGGACTGGGGAACCTACAACAGCTTCATCTATACAACAACCTCATCACAACCGTGCATCCCAGGACATTTTCCCACATGACCAAGCTGCAGTACCTCTACCTCTTCTTCAACAAGATTCACACCTTTGATCTTAGCAGTGTCTCTGGGCTGACTAGTCTCCGCAGAATTTCCCTCTACAACAACAACTTGACTTCAGTTCCGCAAGGCAATACCGCACCGCACCTACCCGGCATAACACACTTCAACATGCTCACAAACAAGGTTACAGAAATTTCTGCACACTCCTTCTCTGGATTTGACAATCTGCAGTACTTGAGGCTTTCATACAACAAGATAAGTGTAATCCATGAGGATGCTTTCAACAACCTTCGCAACTTAAGAGAAATCTACCTAAATGGAAACAGTCTCAGATTGCTAGACGGACAGATCTTTTCCGGGCTTGGAAGTCTCCGTATGCTGTCCCTTGAACAGAATGAAATAGAATTCATCTCACCCGACGCCTTAGCAGGACTGACAACACTTGACCACCTGAAGCTAGAAGACAACAAGCTGAAGGTTTTTCCTGATGAACCCATATCGGGGCTACAAGTGTCCAACCTGTACTTGCAGAGAAACCTCCTGTCAAGTCTGTCAGACATGTCCTACCGTATCCTGGACCGTACGTCCAGGGTGATTCTTCATCAGAACCCCTGGAAATGTGACTGTAGGATGATCGACTTTCGCAGGCTTATGAGAGGCCGGTCCTTTGAGGACCAGATCGTCTGTGACAGCCCTGTTGAGCTGCATGGAAGCAAGCTGAAAGATGTACCAGCTGGAGAACTTACCTGTTTAATCCCTTTGATAACCTGGTTTGAAGTTACAAACAGTGGCCCTATGAAAGAAGGCGACACCTTGAGTCTGGTTTGCGAAGTCTGGGGCTACAAGAACCCAGAAATAGTCCTCCAGCTACCGAATGGGAAACAAGTATCCTCAACACTGAGGCAAAGCCAGGGAAGAGTACAAGTCCTGCCCAATGGAACTATCACAATATACGACATCACACAGGAAGACTCTGGGACGTATGTCTGCATTGCCAATGGCATTGGATCTACAGAAAGGTCACTGTACATTCCTGAAATACAGCCCAAGCCCGCGTCACAAGTTTCACTCAATACAGTCCACATGAGCAAGTTAGCTGGGGGCATCCTTGGAGCCATTGCTGCAGTGGCAATTCTGGCCCTTCTGGCTGGCACAGTCTGGTACAAGAGGAGGAGGACACAGGCAGATGAACAGGTGTTGGTAGACAATGTACAGGTGAACGAGACACCTGAAGCTGCAGGTGAGACATCAGTGAATGTGGGAGACACAACAGAAAACACCACAACTGAGAGCGAGAGCCGTGCATGACAAGACTTTTAGCACATGAAAGATGTGACTTGTCAATGAAGGTTAGGAATCCAGGTAATGAGATACACAAGGAAAAAGTTACTCAAGCAACTGGATACATTTTGGAAACTGTCAAGATGTTTCAAGTAGCAACTGCTACTTTTCATCAGGAACAAATGGAATCTGTAGTGGAACTGGTATTCATCCAAAAACTATGAATTGATATGTAAATGAGGTGAAGACAAACTGGTGATTGTTTTGAATTTGAAAAAAGTATAAAAATCATGAATCAAAGGAGGTTAATCACAGCATTTAACGTTCATTTCTCTCATATTGTGCAATTTGCAAAGTTACACACATTGTACATTAACACTAATCCTGTTGAATTCTGTTGTAACCACAGGGGAGCTTTTATGCAGAGTTGTAACCAATATGTAAATTTGGAGCACAGATGTAACATAATTACCCAGGAGACCGTTAAACTGACCATAGCTATGCAAGTTCAGTGTTGCCTTCTACAATATATCAAATAGGGAGTATATATCTTGAAAATCTGTATGATAGCATGTGTAATTCTATTGAAATATGCTGCCACAGTGATAGTTATAATTGTTATGCCAAAGACAGAATTTGTACTCGACTAGCAGTTAAACGGTCCATAATGTAACTAGACTATGGTGTACATACTTATGTTTGCTGCTGCCATCATGAATAACAGTTTTGATGATTAGCTATCTTCAGATTTTATATCATATTTTAATATTTTCTTATATATATATATATAGATGCATGTATGGCCAAGTGAAGTAAATATAACACTTTTATCAGAGTCATGACAGAAATACAAGACTAGTCTAGCCAAGAAATTGTGAAGACATAACTATACAAAGTTTATTTGACAAACAGAATAAACTTTTCTTCATCTACATGTATATGGCATATACTTGGAATAAAAGCAAACACACAACATACCTGGTTAATAATGATGGAGGTTAACTGGGGGAAGACTCGGCTGCCAAACTGGGACTGGGCATCAAAGTCCAGCTCTGGTTCCTACAAAAAAAGACATATCATCATAATACAAATCAAGTGCTACAGTCCAATTGGGAAGGGCGCTTTACACTTATTTGATTTCCTCACTTGACTCATGTCAAATTGAGAACAGCTTTGGTTTGGGACATTCTCTTGATGGGATGTTAAGATCTTGTGTTTGAGGAGACTCACTCTTCAAGCACATTAAAGAACCTACTGCACTAATACAAGATTAGGGATTTGAATGGATCAAACCTATCAATTTATTCTCTATCCTTACAGAGGCAGTTTATCAGTGATGTAAAACAAACAAAGAGCAGCACAGACTACATAAAGGTTTACCTCATAGAAAGAGAAGGACCAATGGGAGAAGGGTTCTCTGCTGAACTGCAGTCGGACGCGACCTTTCAGCTTAGTGACCTTGACAGACAGGTAGGCTGTTCTCCCAAACACAAGGTCAACATCCACAGCCAGGCGGAACCCGCCCTTGTAGTCAACATCAAGGGCAATGTCTATGGTCTGGCAGGGAATAAAAAATCTGTATGTTAAACAGCAATCATGAAGAAGACGACCAGAGATGGCAGACTTATCTCTCACCAGCATAGGTCACACACAATATACATACAATTTACAAACACACACACACACACACACACACACACACACACACAAACACACATGCATGCACACAAACACACACAGACAGACAGACACACACATAGATAGGCAGACACACACACACGCACACACACAGATGACAGGGAAAAACATACTTGACCAACTCATTGTGTATCAAGCTATATCAGCTGCTGCAATATACATCAGATTCTGTTCCATTTGTGCATAGAGTAGTCTTTACCTCAGGCATGCCATCTTTGGACTGCTTAACATCCATGATAGTTGCCTTCTCAACAATGGGGAAGGTGGTACCAAAGGAGTAGTCTCTCAGCTGTGAACAACAACAGTGAAGGTTAATTAGATAAAATGTACATTTGTACTGACTAAACTAGTAGTAAAGACTGAGCATGTTTGGGTGAACAATTTGTAACCCTAATTGTTGTACCTAATCTCACTTGTATATGTATATGGAAGGGGTTGCAGGCTTGCAGCCCTTACTTGGCTAGGTGAAAATGAGCACCTTTGGAAACCAAATTGGTTTGGGATGCCGTTTTGGAAGTTGAATGGGACGTAATGGTCTTGTGTTTGAAGAGAGTCACTTAAAAGTAGGGACATCCTATCAAATGAGGATGTGACATTCAGAGATCCCACGTTTTAGGACAGCTACTTCTTGTCCTTGATAACCAAACCTCACCCTGATTCTCTCCATGACCCTCCCTGCCGTCTTGCTCTGCACCAGCTCGGCGAACTCCACGCTCAGCTTCTTGTTGACCCAGCGCCGGATCCTGCCCGTGTCCTTCAGCTCGCGGAACAGGAAGGCCAGGATCAGGTTAAACCACTCACACGACTCGGACGACTTCTTCCGTGTCTGGTCCGGCTGAAGGTCCTGGAGAAGGTTCTCAAGGTTCTGCACAGAACAAAAAGAGCAAAATACATTGGTGCTGTTTGTAATGAGTAGAAAATAAGATGCTATTTTAAAGAGTGATATTGTCAAGATATCATCAAAATTCACAAGCAGGTCCTGCAGCAGGTTCTCAAGGTTCTGCGCAGAACAAAAACTCGAGCATGAATCCATACAGCAAAACACATTCATTTGGTGCTGTAAATGTACTAGTATTCAGATGAAATAAGATGCTAAAGAGAAAGAGTGACATTGTCAGGTTGTAATTATTATAAGGGTCCTTTGAATACAAGCATCAAGGTTTATAAAGGCTTACGTTAACTGGTTGCTTTTTATCTTTTTTTACCTCCTGTGTTTGGAAAAATTATTGAAATTCTGGTTGCTTTGAAGTTTAACAAAACTATCTAATGCTGATACTAAAGAGTAGCCTGGGTACCATCCTATTTGCATATCAGGGCTCCCATACTCCCTTAAAAGCAAGTGTGGGAGCCCTGGTAATACTGGTATACAAATAGGATGGCACACAGACTAAATAAAGAAGCCTATATGAAACTTTTATTTCAAACAATGCATAATTCCTGTGGCATTACCTCATGTAGCCTGGCTTTCTCGTACTGTTCGTTCTTGGGTTTCTCTGCTACCGGCTGCCTCTTCAGGTACCAGTAGGCCAGAAGTCCCTGTACCATCAGCAGGACCACAGCCCCCAGTACCATGGACATGATCACCACAGTCAGCAACATGGCGGAATGTTGTGACGCTCACTACTGAGCTGCTGGGATACATGAAGAATAACAGACTTAAACATTTCCTCCACATACTATACTATAGTATTATTGTGATTATTCAATATATAAACAGGTAGAAATGTAAAGGTCTTGATCAGCATTTCAATGTTTTGAATTCTAAATCTTTCATACATGACCAATGTTCATAACATAAAATTTGACACATCTGAATTCAAACTTCTGGATCTAAGACTCAGATAATCCAAATGGACGGTGTTTTTTTGTGCGTTTCTTGTCCTTACAGATCCATGATTCATCATTTCGCCACATCGGCGTACATAAGACAAATAAATACCGTCAACTGATAATGATCACAAATGAATGATAAAGCAAACGCCCCCCTCCCTCTTTATCTTTCGGCGTTTATGGATATAAAGCAACAGTTCAGTCGTCAATATCGGGTCAAAGACAGAACCTACCGTTTAAATTTTCACCTCAGCATCTAAGCAGCACAATGAAATATGCCGTCTAGTTCTACTTTGGGCTGAATCGTCGGAAGTCTTGTTAATTTTCACGATTAAAAATTGTTCGTCTGCAAAAAATAAAAATTTTCGCCGCCATTTTGGGCGAAGCCATCTGGCCGGAGGGGAAGGGGGGGAAGTTCTGAGAAATGAAGTACTTCCGCCATATGCACAGCTGGGGAGTACGTCACTTCCGTTTTGGCAGGAATGGGGTGATAGTCTGCGATTCCGAAGCAAAATTGCGAGAAAAATCTCCCCGCTCGTTGGTTTACTGGTTGCCACCATTTAATAGTGAAGCTGAATGTTGGTACGATCTCTGAGATAACAATGGTCGTGTTGTTTATACGTTGAACGAGTTTTCAATCGGAAGAACCCAACAGATGTTGTTGCCCCCCTCCCCCATCCAGCTCTGAATAAACATCACTTCAAAATATGAACTTGCGAGCGATATTTCAGGACTTCAATCCCAGGTAAGAAATTCGGTTTGAGCTGGAGTCACATGACATTGTGAATTAGAACAATTTATTGGCGTTTGCTTGAGGACATTAGGCTATATTATAAAATTATAATGATTTTAATTGAGTGTAAGAAACCAAGAGGAGACAGTAAACCCCCAACTGTTACAACAATACATGAGTTTAAAAACTTTCAGGGGAGACAATATAAACGTTCAATTCTGTACCAGATGATGTACTTCTGCTTATTGACTTTTGCAGTGTCTCTCCGCTACATAATTCATGAATATGCATAGTAGATGTATTACTACTGTAACGTTACATTAGTACTACTACTACAGAATTGTTCCAACTGTGAACTCGAAACACAGTGAAAACCGGCTTTCCCCTCTCCTATCATGAAATACTAGTACTAGTAGCACCACCAAAGAGAAAGAACCTATATATTATTGGTACTATTGCCTAATCTGTACAGGATCAGGACTTTCTTTCACAATACTATTACCCCCGGTAGTATTTAAGTACATTGTAGTATACTGAGTGATGTCTATTTTTTCACAGCAAGTTTGTGCTGTACTTCTGCCTGCTGCTGTTCTCGGTGCTGCTGGCCCTGAGACTGGACAGCACCATCCAGTGGAGCTACTGGGCTGTGTTCCTGCCCCTGTGGATGTGGAAGGTGGTGGTCATCACCGGGGCATCACGGGGGATATATGTGTGGTGGAAACACCCTGAGTATAGGTCAGTACAGGCTAACAGACTCATCACTGCCTGTAATTAGTGTAGATAGTTTCATCAGGTTAGAAAATCAATGGAAATTGGAGTTCTTTCTGCACAGCCAAAAAAGCCAAGATTTCTGAAGTCCTAAATCTTGAGTCAGATATTCAGTAAGACGCTACCACGCAGACCCCAAGCTTTTGAAAAAAAGATTAGGAAGCAGAAGGACTACCAAAGTACTGGGAGGTGTTTTTCTTTTAGGTTTTGTAAAAACAAATGTGATATCCTGGACACAATGCTGCCATTACTGGTTTGACAGTCTCTGCCTTAATAATGATAATACATTTGTGTAATTACTCTCTGCCCCTTCCAATAGTACAGTAACATTCTAGAGTCAGACATCATGTGTGCCCACTGATCATGAATGAAGCTGACAAGTTTGTGAAATTTAGAACAGTGTTGCTTGAAAGAAAACATGCATCTGTCCACAGGACTGAAGGCGACAGCTATGTGGAGTTTAAGGCCATGCTGATCTGCCTGGGTCTGAACCTGCTGCTGCTGATGTTTGAGCTGCTGGCCTGTGATAACCTGGAGTTTAAACACCACCTGTGGCTGCTGGTCTTCATGCCGCTCTTCTTCATCTCACCTGTGTCCATCGCAGCCTGCATCTGGGGCTTCAGACATGACAGGTCGCTAGAGGTCGGTACCAGGCATCTACTAGTACTCAACATGTACATTTACACTCACAGAGGGAACAAGGGGCCAGTTACTGGCTTAGCACTTATATTAGGCTGGCTGGTACACTGATATGTTGAACAGTTGACTCCCCCCTCGTTATACATATCCAACAATCAACACCAGTTAGATCAGTCAGTAGAGAGGGCATATATTTTTGCATGAGTATCAGTATGAAAGTCGCTATGTTTGTAAAGCCGAGACCTATGGCAACTATGTACTAGTACTACTACATTTACGAGGACTAGGAAGGTAATGCACTTTCCATTAAGAAAAATATGCAGTTAGTTTGTGGTTGTTGTAATTGTAACAATTGTTTTGTTTTTGACAGTTTGAAACCATCTGCTCAGTCAACATCCTACAGTTCATTTTCATTGCCCTGAGACTGGACCATGTCATTCTGTGGAAATGGGTGGTAAGTAAAAAAAATCTTGTCCTTTCAAAACACAAATAATGTACTCTTGTACATTGAAATTGCTTCTTAGATAGCTGCTATAGCCTGGCTACCATCCTGGTTATTTTACCTCCTCTCCCATAGTCGCTACTGATTAGCAACTGTGGGAGCAAACAAACAAGGATGGTAGCCAGGCTAAGTGCTGTTGTAGATACTGTTTTGAAGTTTTTCATCTGTTTTTGTACAATTAATATTTTTAAAGATTAACCACATTTTGTACCAACCTGGGTACTAGAAAAGGATGTTTTCATGTGTTTTGTAGGGTTTCTTGCAATTGAGCATTTGTTTTGATGTGAATACTGACAGTTCTGGCATGTTTTGCCTGATTTCCTGCAGATAGTGTTTGTGCCGATGTGGATCCTGATGTGCTTGGTGTGCCTTATCGTCCTGTACTACATCATCTGGTCCATCCTCTTCATGCGCTCCACTGACGTCATGGCGGAACAACGGCGGGCACACCTCATCCTGGCGATCACTGCTCTTGCACTGGTTTTACCTTTCCTTACGTTTGAGGTAAGATTCTTACGCAACAAGGGCACCATACAAAGATAACTATGAGTTAAGTGTAAAAATGCTTTCATTGTGAGTTTAGGATTGGGATAAGTTACTACGCAAGAAAGTCTGCAAATATATATATATTCCATCAGGGTCAAATAATGGTAATACAATAAATGAAAATTTGTTGCTTCAGCATTTCTGAACTCAGGTAATTAGGACAGCGTTTCTAAAACAGTTCTGTGTTTGTAACATTGAGACCACATTAGAGGAAGGACTACCAAAATGTTGGCAGGTTATTTCCCCCTTTGGTTGTGTAAAAAGAAGTGCATATATGTACCCATGTCTATGTCTATGTTGATGTCTGTAGGTCCTCCTGGCCAACAGACTGGATGGAGATAACCAGTACCAGTTTGTTGCCATCATGGCTCCTCTGTACATCTCACTACTCACACTCATGGGCATGTCTTTTGGACAGAAGGGAGGAAATCACTGTAAGTATTACAACAGTTGTTATAATGTTGCTTTTTTCATAAAAGTCACTGTCACACTGTGTATTGTACTTAAATCTTACTGTAATGTAGCTGTTGTAGTTTCTGATATAATCGCACACCATGCATCTCTAGAAACATGTTCATGTAATTCATGTATTTTTGACTTAACTTGTCGGTTGGAAGCTGCAGTAAGGACATCAGTTAAAATTTCATGTAGATATGTGTTGCGGAAAATATTTTCACCTGTATATGTGTACAGCTGTGAGGTTAGAGTAATGCAGCTTCACAGTTTCATGTAAGAGGTGTTCAGAAATCCTTTAAAATGTTCCCTTGCATCCACAGGGTGGTTTGGGATACGTAAGGACTTCTGTCAGTTCCTGTTGGAGGTGTGTCCGTGCCTGCGCGAGTACGGGAACATATCCTACAAGATTCACCACGATGACGATAATGAAGAGTCAGAGGAAGAGACGGCGGTGGACCCCGCATGCAGAGTGCCGCGAGCCCAGCCCATCATCACCAGCAGCCCCACCAAATGTGTGGTCCCTGTCATCTCTATAGACATGCCAGACTGAGCAGGACATGGCTGCTGGGACATCCGGAAATAATTTTATCAAGTTTATAGAACATAGGATATTGGGATGTTCTTTAGGATATACAACCAGGGAGTCTTCCTACCTTGTTTATGTTTCAATGTCTATCCGACACCTTCCTCAGAGATTCTGACTGGAGTACTGTTTCTCGCTTCTATACTTCAGAACACAAAGTCAACCCCAGTGATGAACCGGGACGAGGGGGGATACAAAGTTAGCCACGTTTGGGATTTTGTTCTCACCACAAAAGTGCCACCTACATGTACTTCAGCTACATATACATTGTGTGGCAACTAGAAGCAGCACTCCAGTCAAAATCTCTGAGGAAGGTGTCTGAAAGACATTGAAACATAAGCAAGGTACATGTAGGAAGATTCCCTGGTTTTGTATAAGAACATCCCAATATCCTTGACTGGGATATTTTGGCTACACCTCGTGGGAGGAGCCACACATTCTTTCCCCCAATGGTGTTTGACACACATACATGTATGAAAGGCAGGTGGCTTGTGGTCAGACAAAGCAGGCTTTGTATGTATTAACATGTCCATCTTGTACAAAATTCTATTTATTTTACCTTAAGTATTACATAAAACACCTGCTGAGACAGCTGCAACAGGTGACAGTACAAAGTGTACAGGTGCCAGGTGGAAATAGAAATATGATATTGGAGATTTTGTATAAGACAAGTGTACAATAGTATAGTATAGGCTCCACGATGAAACCCAAGTACATGTAAAAGTGAGACAGGTATGAGAGTAGAATTGTCTGTCTGGTACTAATAATACTATCACCTATGTACATGATACATTGTACATGTATAACAAGGGTATTTACAACAGTTTTAGATATTTCCTGTAGAAGTATCAGTTTTAGATACTTTCCTGTAGAAGTATCTAAAACAATTAAGACTTGCTTCTTAATTGTAAGTATAGATTACTAAGTACCTGAAAATTTGCTTCATCAATGACTAAAAAGGCTTTTACTTTTGTTGCTTATGGTACAATGTATAAACTCTACTGAGCAGGTCTTACATATTTCTGTGCCAATGTAAAAATATAAAATATAATACCACAAATTGTATTATTTTGCAATGTTGTTTCTTGATACTGTTTTTGAACTCTATGTCTGCTGTACACATGAAGCTCTTTCTATGGCATTAAGACTGTATAATAAAGACTGTAAATAAAGTATGCATTTCTTAGTAGAATATCGGTGCATCTGTGTGTCCTTAACACAAGCAGACATTCTTTGACAAAGCCATTGTATGGGAAAAGGAAGGAATTGAACCAAAAGAATAAGCTCTCACACTGTAATGCAGACTCTGATTTCTCTTTATTTTTGACAGTAAGACTTTTGCAATTGTTGATTCAAAGCCGGTGCCAGAGAAGAGATCACAGTCTGCTATCCAGCGCTGATGACGTCCTGCAGACAATATCAAAGTATTAGTCATGTCCTTGTCACAAAACAAGTAATGTTTTGGCCCCCCTTCTGAACAAGGAAACAGCATGGGTAACTTGAATCATGTAATTTTGTACAACAAGTAGATAGATTATGTTGCTTAGTCCATGTGTTACGTGCTATGCGTAGAATTTAAATGTTCTTAAAGCTTGTTGAATGCTTTTCTTTGAGAAGATGGACTATATATATGTATAGGTGTATGTGGAACAGTTGCTTGTTCTGTATCATAGGCTGATTCTAGCTATTTATTGGTGGTACCCTAAAATAAAGGGGCTGCTAACATACTTGTTTTGGGGGCCATTTCAAACGCTTAATGTAAGGTTCATGTATCACAGAGGTCTACTTACAGCTGTGGTGTCTGAGGTCGACGTTTAGGCAGTCGGCCGGGCTGGCATGAACTAAATATGAAGAAATTAGCACACGTGAAGTTTATAACAACTGATTATTCACAGTTATGTTAGAGGCAAGAGCATCGCAGGATTGACAAAAAAAAAATACCAGAAAGGAACGCGCAATTTTTTCTTTACATTGTTTAAATTGAACTTTAATCACGACCTCAATCAATTCAGATTTAGCTTGCCCGTAGGTAAGTACGTACTACTGACAGAACCCAGTCAATATATTAGGAATTTGGCCAACAGTACCCCCTTCAAAGCTTTTCAAGTAGAGGACACTTACGGGTGCCACCATGGTGCTGAAGGAACTGTCCATCTCAGCCTTCATGGTGGTGAAGAGAGTCCCGACCTGTCCAGAGAACACTTGGAGAACCTGCCTCTCCTGAGCGTTGGTGAGCTGTGTGTGTGCGTGGTGTACAGTAACACGTTATTCAAAGTAAAGCAGTTCATATGCATGTATGCCCGACGGGTCACACCCGTGGACGTGTATATATGTTACTCTCCAAGCAGAGGTAGGGTCGCTCGGTATTTTGGCAGTATTTTCGCGTTTTTAATACGTCTTTCTACTTTTACGGGGTTTTTTTTGGTAAGGGGAGGAAGACCAAAAAAAAAACCGTAAATAAAAAAACCAAAATACCGAGCGACCCTACCTCTGCTTGGAGAGTATATATATGTGCCATGTTTGAAAACGACTTGATGAAAAAAGACGTGAAAGGCTTTGAAAAATTATGGCAGGAATTGCACAGGTAAAAATTCTTCCTTATGCCTCTACCCCGAACCGATGTTGGTGCGTTCAAAATTGAATTAATAATTTTGTCCCTGGACTTACTACAACCAAGAAAATTTAATAAAAAGGAAAATTGAAAAAAAAAATTTAAGGGTGCAAAACGACTCCTCTTTTGGGACATTCAAGACCAAAAACATGGATATAACTTTTAAATGTGTACCTATTCCCTAACAAAAACACATGCAAAGCAAAGCAAAACAACGAAAACAAAACACGACGGTGATAAAGTTGGACGTACCGGGATGATACGCTCCCTGAAGAAGCGGCCAACCTGGCGCCAAGAGTCAATCAGCTGGGTGTTCGCAGCGGTCATTCCCCTCATGAGCTCCTCCTGTAGAAGATTAGACACAGTAAACCATCCGCACTGAATCAGGTCCATGTTTTAAGTCGATACGACTCGACCATGTGTCCAAATCTAGTTTAATACGTTACTGACCCAAAGGAAGGTGGTACGGTACTAATCAGTAATCTCCAAACAAATATCTGGCTGCCGGTTTTCTCTAGCTCTGAGAGGATCATATCCTACACCCCACTTCTCTGGGATGGCTGTTAGGGAAGTCAGACAGTCAGAAAACGTAATCTCCCATTAACATCTGCCTGGGGATTAGTGTGGGCGGTCGAATAATCGAACAGCACATCACTTATCATGAAAGTTCATCTGTGTTGGTAGTAACCATAGTAAAACGTTAAACTTTATTCCAACACACAATTTACAGAGATCAAATTTTCAGCGACCACTGTCGCCTTCATCAGTAAACCGTAACTCTCGCGAGATCACGTTGTGAAATGATTGGTCATTAATTATCCTGATGAAGGCGACAGTGAAAGTGAAAATTTGATCTCTGTAAATTGTGTGTTGGAATAAAGTTTAACGTTTTACTATAGCACATCACTTATAATAACGTTAAACGTAATAACGTTATAGGTCACATCAGTAAAACCACACAATTTTTCACAAGAAGAAACCTCTCAATAGATAGAGACGAAGAGAGAGAGGGGGGGGTCTCAGTTTTGCCATATAGTTCATGCGTCGATGAAGGTTAGACATCCAGGTAATACGATACGCCAAAAAACAGTTACTCAAGCAACTGGATATGATTTTGAAAACGTCAGACGTTTCAGCTAGTAACCACTAGCTTTCGTCAGTGACTGAGAGACCAGAGGGGAAAGCAGGTTTATAAGTACAACCTGTTGACTTTTGTTCCTTTTTCGACTTCCAAAAAATTTGTCTTCACTTTATTTGCATATCAATCAACAGGTTGTACTTATAAACCTGCTTTCCCCTCTGGTCTCTCAGTCACTGACGAAAGCTAGTGGTTACTAGCTGAAACGTCTGACGTTTTCAAAATCATATCCAGTTGCTTGAGTAACTGTTTTTTGGCGCATATAGCTCATGGTTTAAACACTTGACATACATCGCTGTCCTTGTGAGCCTTGAAGTAGTCCGTCCACTGCTTGAAGACGGCCATGCTGCGCTCCTTGAGCTTGTCATTCAGGGTCTTCACCTTCTCACGAACGACGGGGCGCAGTTGCTGCAAAAAGATAGAGTCGTAAGTTCTTAATCTGACAATGAATCGTGTAGAACATGTCATGTAGACTTTGATTAGAATTACTCGGATTCGTCCAATATACATGCCATTTCTTTGACGTCTTGTTGTTCAGCCTCCTGACAGAGACGCATAGTGCTACTCGTCACGTTTAATTATGTTTACCGAAGGAAAACATATTGTTTTTCCTCCATTTCTTCTTCTTCTGTTCCAAACACTAACCTCCGACCTGGCCAATGGCCTCTTTTGTTGACGTCTGTCACCATAGTAACTGGTGTTGGGTTACATAATGTTGCAATCTCATACTAGGCATTTAGACTCCTGTCACCATATACATGTATGTGAATGTGTTTGAGTACGAATTAACAAAGCAGACCATATCCGAAGGTAAACATTATGCACTTGCTGTGCAAATGTTACCTTTCTAGTTAAAACTATGAATTTTTGAAACAATTTGTGAAAATCAGACGTTTCAGACACAGGTGTCTTTCATCTGTAAAAAAACAGAAACTGAAGGTTTCCTATTTTGGGGTTCTGTTTCTTCACTGATGAATAAAAGCGGATGGTTTTCGAAAAACGTCTAATACAAAAAAAAATGTATCCAGTTCCATAGTTTGATTAAAACATTATGGTACTACTAGTCACGCGAGCTACAAGAAAGAAGAAGAAAGAAGAAAATTGTCACGTCGCCTTACGTCCTTGATCTTGTCGTCATACTCGACGCGAACCTGGAAGGTGACGTCGCGGAGCTTCTGGCCCATCAGAACGGAATACTGCTTCAAGGAGTCCGCAAACGGAGACAGCGCCTGCGTGTCAAAATGGATAATACATCGTGGACTGTAGACTGTACTAATAGACACATGCATGCACCATCATATAATAGTACGGTAAAGGAGTCACCGTCGGCAGTGGCTCGAGCTCCGAGCATAATTGTTCAAGCATGATTGTAAATGAGTGTAGAGATGTTAATTAAATAAGTGCAATTAAATTTAAATGCTACATACGGGTTCCTCGGTCAGGGTCTGAGCCTGAGCCTGAAGCTGCAGCATGGTCTGGAAAAAACAAGGTACATCGTACATGTATGTATTTGTAAGTTGACGTTGTTGTTTTTACTCGCCTACTCACTTAACTTTACGAATACTAGTACTTATGTGATAAACTTGTAATGTGTGACGCCACACGCTGGAAGGCACATTTTGAACAAGTGTAGTGTTAACGCTATAAAAGGGGAAAAATCAGACACACTGGCAAACTATAGATGGAACTGTGGATTTTTAGTGGAGTGTATCAGGGTCACGATTAAAAAATGACCCTGATGGCAAAATAAATGGTGTCTCAGAGGCTTTGTGTGAATATTATACAAAACGTTTGTACATCATGATGGGTTATTTGGTCATAAAGGATTCAAAGGAAGTCATCGACAACAGGCGTACCGGCTTGAGGTTGGCGTCGAAGAAGGTGGCGAAGGACGCCTGCATGGTGGCGGCCTGGGCGGACAGGGTGTTGAAGTAGCTCCTCATCACGCGACCCTCATGGGCAGTCAACAGCTGGAACAGACCAACAGTACACTTCAGTACAAGTAACAACTACTTGTGCTTTACACGTTCATCTAAGGAAACAAAGAAACATAACATGGCAAACTAAATATCACCAATGGTTGGTGCACGAACGAAACGTTCTACCCCACCGGCCCCGATCTGGTCGCTCTGTTTATAGATACTCCTGATAACTAATGCCAGTACGAGCAACAACTACCCTTGCTAGTACATAGTACCCAACAGTCAACAACAGCTGGGTTTAACTATGATTTTGATGATGCTGTTACGTACCGAATTCACAGATAGATGAGGAAATTTCATGCAACGGAATCTTCATTCCTACTTACCGGCTTGATCTGGTTAAGGTAGTAGTTCTGTGCCTCTCCGTGACCGCGGGCCAACTTAACGCTGTATTCAACCAGACTACGTGCCAGTGCCCTCTGTGAAATGAAAGTTGAAACAAAAGCAATGCAGAGTTTACACCAATCATGTATGGCAAAGCAAGTATCACTGACATGTATGGTTATATTGCATGGACAAAACATTCTACTACATTTTTATCCTGGCAGCAACTTGGCTAGTACTAGAGCTGTCCTTTATCCCTAGAGCACTGAAACTGTACTACCACTCTGGTAACTGATTCTTACAACTTACTGCTTCCTAACGATCTGCAAATTATGTATATTAAATAATTGTACTTGAGCACACAATTGTCCATGTAAAGGTTTTTTTTACTTAAATCGCACTTTGAAATGTTGTAGTTTTATCTGCTCAGTGTACTGTATTTTACTCATTGGTATAATTGTAATAATGTTGGCTCAATTCATGTTTTGAATGTAATCATGGAACATGTCGTGCCAATGTCAATAAAGCTAAATCTGAATATGTCTGTCATACTCCAGTTAGAACATAGGGACTCACGTCGTTCTCCCTGTTCGCTACGTAAGTCGCCCTCCACTCGTCGGCCATAACCTGCATCTTGGCCTCCATACGGTCAGCAGAGTTCCTCAGCTTCAGACGGATCACGGGACGCAGTTCCTACAACATGTCACAAACAGACAAGCGTAACTTCGTAAGGGGTTCCTAATATCGATATCGTTTGACTAAGCAGTTAACATATACAAAATAAAACTATCATTAGATAAATTCAACTTCTCGCTTTTCAGTAATAGTAGAGATAAAGGAATAGATATGTTTTTCGGTGAAAGGTTTCTCTAGTTGCATTAGGAATATGAACTTTTCTACAGTACTTAAGTGTATGACTAATATATCCGTATTTATGTCTTTACCTGTTTGATCTTGTCATTGTACTCGCCCTCAGCCATGACACGGAAGCCTTGCAGGGAGGTGGAGACCAGCGCCGTGTAGTCCCGCACCTGCTGGGCGAACGGGGTCGGGTCCTGCCGACGGGACACCCAAAAACTTCGTCAGATTTCCCAGGGAATAAGGCGATCAGATATGACAGATTTCACTAGCCTCTACCAGGCTTGGGGAGGCGGCTGAAAAGAGTAGAAGTTGGCCAAATAGAGAGATAACATGCCAGTGGAGATTTTCTGCTGGAGAGAACAGTTTGCCTTCGGGTTATCTCTCTATTTGGCCAATTTCTACTCTTTCCAGCCGCCTCCCGAAGCCTGGTAGAGGCTAATATTTCACACCCCTGACGATATTAAAGCATACTCCGATAGACAGAACATAGCACAGAACCTAGTCTACTGATCTCTACTGCGCCCTGGATGCCATCGAACGAGGGAAACTCCGTTCAAAATTGTGTACAACTTGTGATTGTGTGGTTAACTTGTAATAATTCTGGGTTCAACGTTGTAACATTGTTCACAAGTTGACATTGTGTTCAATTTGTGAACACCGGATGATGAATATTGTTGTAATTATACATGTACGCAGTGACGTCAAGAAAACCTGGCATTTGGGGAGACACACCGGCTGGTCAGTCTTATGGAACGAAAATGTACGATATAAAAGACAACAAAGCACAAAAAAGTTTGAAAAAATTTGCGTATATTATTGTTATAAATTATTGATTTTTCCTCAATCGAAACAGCCCGATTGCTTTGGAAATGTGACCTCAGCATAAAGTCCTTTAGCCTCCACAACAGGCTCTTCTGTGGGCTGTGTTTTGATAAGTAAATGCCATCAATACGCGGGCTGTATACGTTGTCTGGAGCCTGCTATAGAGACTACTGCTTCTCGATAGCGCTGCAGAGAGGGCGTGGCTTTCTGGGATGACCTTTTATCGCTTCCTGTGAGTTTTTTTATTTATTTCAGACATCCGTAGTTGCTTGCGTCATCTCCTGTCATATTTACCCGCTCGGTGAAACAGGTGGGCGGTTCTCACGGACAGACGCCGTTCTACATTAGCCTGGTGTCCGGCCTTGTTAGCTTTGAAGAGCGCTCCCCAAGATCTGCTCTCCTTGTTGGCGGGGAGCGGATCTTGGGGAGCGCACTAAAGCTAACAAGGCTGGACACCAGGCTAGTTCTACATACCTTTGGGATTTCTCTGCTTGAACTACATTTTATTATGTGTTCAAGTATGCAGAAGCAATATGGACAACGAACTCGATGCACCTGGATCATGAAATTGAATTTTGCTCTGGGTTGGCCACCGCTAGATTTTAGATCGATTGACTTTGCGTATGTAAAATTAAAAAGAGCAAGGAGATTGAAAATATAGATTTTTAACTTTCTTGATATACAAGATCTGTGATAGCTGTGTGAAGCAATAAACCATAGGCCCATATATACATTGAAACTTGTGTGTGAATAGTTTATGCAATATTTTGCTGTTTTTCATATGTCATAACTTTTCCTAATCAATCCAAAGGAGCAAACATGCAAAAAGTACTTTTAAAAGAAATAGAAGTCCCAACTTACCGCCTGCACATAGACGGCGGCAAGCACCACCAACACGAACACCTTCATTCTGAACTGAAGGGACAAGGAAAGAAAATATTCATATTAGTGGAAAAAACTAACGCCGAGTTACGGTAAACACACGGTTCTGTCGGTAAACGCAGTGCACCGCTGCCACTGGCTTGTCAAGTTTGTTTAACTAAAGGGTATGTCTTTTCGACCTGGCTTCAGCCTTTTACTTTACATTTAATGAACTACCATACTTATATAAAAAAATGATACTTCTAAAAAAATCAGCATGATTTTTGCGCAAGAAGAGTCGAAAACGTTCTGTGCAGTATTAATGTCTTAGCCTGGGAACCTGGGTACCATCCTGGTAGGTCCGCAGTCGCTCCCATCCCACCAACGTTGTTAGGAGCGACTGTGCACGTGGGAGCTAACCAGGATGGTACCCAGTACCCAGACTATTAATGTCTTCCTATGGTTGATGGAAATAAAACGACCAACATCTCGACCTACATTTTGACGCTCAGTAGCTAATATCAATGATAGAAAAAAGTGAAAATCATGACAAATTGTAGACACACACACCTGCACAGGGAGACTCGGAGCGAACAGTGAGAAGATGTGGAGGATCTCGGAGAGTATCTCTGCAGCGCGACGAGACCATCTTTTATAGAACCGGCGAGGCCCAACTAAAGCCATTAACTGTTTAACAGATAAAACAGACGCTCAGAGAATGCTGACTAATTGTTGTTTATTTTATGGTAGATTGTGCGCATGAAAGCGTACGTAAAGGATTTCTTCATTTCTTTATTTTTAACACCGTGAAAAGTTAAACCAATCAACATTCGAATGTGATTATCTATCTATCTCTATATATATGTGTACAATTGTCGTGCAATAAAGTTCTATAAGTTTTCACTAAAGCGCGTACGTGTTCATGATTTTCTTAAAAAACATCAAGATTTAGTATCTTCTTTCATTTCATTAATATCGATCGATGTGAAAGTCATTCAGCCGGGCTTCAGTACAGCCACACCGGTACACCTTTCTTTCTTTCTATAGTCTCTTTTCCTTTTTTTCAATAATTCATCAAATTATGGGCAACTACAACTTTTGCCGTTAGTTTGGCCAGGGTCCGACTGAAAACCAGAACAAATAACAAGGGGTTATCGGGTTTGTTTGATTTGGGGAGCCGGTTGGTACGGCGCGGATTCTTACATCCTTCGCCGTAGAAACTAAATTTGCTCAAGTTGTTGAAATTCTCCGGATAATACGTGCGGCCTCCTTAATACTAGTATTTAATATACTTAATATTTCGAATTTCTGCTAGATTAAGAGCTGATGCAATCTGATGTTTCTGTTACTTGCTTGACGATTGGTGCCATGAAGTATAGCCTCCTTGTTAAAGGTAGCCTCGTTACTATCCGTTACTATGATTTTACTCTGCTACGTTGGAAAAAAATCCGGATATGGTACCCACGCTAATGTCGATGTTAAAGGGAGAAAGAGTACACTAAATTGATATATCACCTAATCAGTAAATCGCAGTTAATCACTAATACGAGTAGATAGACTAAGCACAACGCTGTAATATCCTTCTAAATCCTCCCAAATGTCAAATCAATCAGATATATCTAAAATGAGTGTGAAAAACATTTAAAAGTGTGGGAAAGCTTTTCATTAGCTTTACGCGCTATAACGTTACGTGTTCGTGTCCTTACTTTTAATTAGTCTCCCTTGAACCCCCGTTTTTTGTCATCTCCATACGAGCTTCTTTTAGCATACACCGTGTACTGAATCTGATTACACGAGCGAGGAAACACCCGCACGGTTGTGTCTGGAAAAGGGGCTAACAACCTGTATGATGTACGAGCGGTCAGTGACATGTCCCGGGCGGCAGCTGTCCAAAGATACATGATAGTCACACGATAGTTATCTCTGATGGAAGCTGGGGTACCGGCCGGTGTGTGGATATTTGTGTGACCTCATCAGGAAAGCTCATATTTGCTACCTGTTGCGTGGAGGAACTGTGATGTGACATAACCTTTCACACACATTATCCTCCACCACTTCTCTTATTATGTATATTATGATAATTAGGACATGACTTGCATGATTTGAATATTTGATAAGAAAATAATACTCTAATTCATGAGTGTTAATTTATGGGAGATTAATATTTGTGACATGCAACTTTGACAGGGGCAAGCATCGTTTGACACATATTTTGCAGATCTGGGCATCATTTGCAAAGATAACTGTACAATGTTTAACATTGGGAGGAGTATAGGGTGATGAAGCTGTAGTTTCAGTTATGATAATGATGTCACACAAATTTCTAGGACTGATGATTCAACAAGTCATTCGTTGTGATGTAGCCAGCTGCCGCCGCACTGCGTGCCTGCGAAGCTGGTGTGTTACACCTAAGGGCGTTTATGTTGGCTATACTGATGCCGACACAGATACAAAGATTACCCAACCAGCATTGCAGTGGTGATCTAAAAATAAACTACTGAGACCCAGTGGCCACTAGCAAATAAGATGTTGTATAAAATATTTATTTACCATGAAGCCATTACATGAAGTACAGGGCTAAAGAGCACTATAGGGTTTGTCCTGTACAGGAATACATGTACCACCCCCCCAGCTATCCTGGCAACAGCTCCTTAACCCCTTTTTAAACAACCACAATGCCTTTTCCCTTCATTCACAATATCAAATTGTTTTACATCCAAAGAAATCGCAAGAGAAAAACATGATAATTCTAGTTGAACAGTCCACAAATTCAAACACAACACATTCTATAAACATAGAGTACTTCTATCTCTACCAAAGCTGACAGGCCTAACATGCTGTCATCAGGATAAAAGCAACAGCAAAACTAATACATTGTATGCATTTGTCATAGTAAAGTACAGAACCAATATGGTTAGCAGACTAGCATTGAAATGAGCCAATATTGCAGAAGCTGGATTATATTGTATCATACCAAGCTCCAGCCAGATCAGAGGACAAACTAAATTTCACTACAGTTGTACTACCCTCCCCTTCCTCAGAATTCCTTAGACCAGCTGGCAAGAAAAATTTACACACTTCAAGCTTCAGTTTTCTGACATTCTAGAATCTCATTTCAGCTCCACTTGCTGATGCAACACATACTGCAGCCATCGTTTTGTCTTAAGTACCTAGTACATGTTTATACACTCCCAAAGTGTTGTGATACATGTATGTTCCTGAAATGGTGTATCTTCTGAGGTTTTTGAATAACAATCTAAGGCCACACTGACTTGACTATGTGGATGGCATCCATACGTGCATTGATTGTTTTGCCTATTTACAAATAAAAAAAATTGCAACTATACTGTTTTATGAGTATTTGAAGGATGACAAAAGTCGAAAGAAAAAAAAGGAGGTGCCAGAAGGATTTTTCTTATTTGATTGCAAAGGATGTCATTGATATACAAAATATAATCAGTATGTGGCAACATGTGCATGGCATTTACATTACTGTTGTTACTGTTACTGCTACAGTTCAGCTACCTCCCTCAGGGCTTCAATGACCGGTATTATTCCTTGCTGGCACTGGCAAGAATCCATTCAAGCACTGAGGAAGGCAGCAGAGAAGCTACCGAAACATCTGCGGGGTGAACACCTGATGAACCTATTCATGTATTCAGTATTCAGGTATAACTTCTGCTTTAAAGACGGTTGCAGTGAGAATGTCATGATGCATAATGTATATTAGATCTCCAGTGGTGGCAGTGTACAAAGTTAGGAAGGCCACATTGTCCCTGCTGTTGGAGCACTACCATTCCAGTTCAACTGGGTATTTTCCCGTCAGACAAGCCGTACAGTGTCCTACTCCATTGTCCTTGCTATTCTGAATGCCTTCCCTTACGGCGGACGTGAGGCCCTCCACAGTCAAGTACACCACGCTGGTCGCTCCCAGACATTCGGCAAGTTTGGCGGCTTCCAGTCTGTTTGCAATCAGCTCCTCCTTAGTGGGGATGTTAATTCCCATGTAGCAGGGGTTTTTGACCGGTGGGGAGGCCACTCGTATGTGGACCTGTCAAAGACAACAATGTCTAGTTAGCTCCACTTGCCTTTAAGTAGCAACATTAACAACACAGCATTTCCTGAATGTCATAAAAATGTTATCTATGCTTTGCAAAATATCAATGGAAAATGGCAACCCCCTATAATTCAGAAACAGAGAAGGAACTTCTCAATATTGGATTCAAAAGGCCGTTGACACCAAACTAGTAAACAATGTGTACAGTGTGTACAATGGCGTTTATCTGACAGATGGACCCCTTTCTTCGTAACAGCACAAAAGAAAAGCATAATAGAAAAAGGAACAGTCGTTGTAAACATGGTTCTAAACTGCTACGTACCTCCTTGGCTCCAGCATTGAAGAGAAGCCTGACGATTGGTCCGATGGTGTTGCCCCTGACGATAGAGTCGTCAATTAAAACAATCCTCTTCCCCTTGAAATTTTCGGCTAAGGCACCAAACTTCTTAGCCACGCCCAGCTGCCGTAACCTGTTGTTGGGTTGGATGAAGGTCCGCCCCACGTAGCGGTTCTTGTTCAGGACTTCCACGTACGGGATCCCAGACTGGGGACAACAACAAACATGGGCATGTCTGAGATACTGTGATTCACTGTGTCTTCATGGCAGCAAAACTTCATGGCCGGAGGACAAACGAAAGACAAATGATTTGATAACAGTAACGATAAGTTCACATGATAAGAAGGGATTGTGAAAACAAAGAACATGTAAGTGCTATAAAAAGAATCAGAAATTAAATGTAAAGTACTGCTTGTTGTACTCCAGTCCCCTGGCATTAGCAGAAGGACAAAGAAGGAAAAAGTGACTGACTGTAGTACACACCTGTTGAGCGTAACCCATTGCAGCGGGTGTGGCAGACTCAGGCACGGTGCTGACCAGGTCTGCCTCCACGGGAGCTTCTCTGGCGAGCTGCCGGCCACAGCGCATCCGAACTGAGTACACCATCTGACCTGGGGTAACACACAGCACATCATTGTCACAGTGTTTATCATAAGTAGTTGTGATATGGTTGATGTCATTCTTCTCACACCCCTACCCCCCTCCATCTTATAATACGTACATTACTGTGGAAAATCAGATTTGCAAAGGAAGTCTGGAAGGATAGTCTGGTAATATATTACATGTATAAGGAAAACCAATTAACCTTCAAGCTTGTCACTAACTACATTATGTACAAAAGTTATGACAACTATAAGGATGCCATTATTGGTAGAAAATTTATATGGTGCTGGTAACATAATGTGCGGCTTGCACTTGTGCATGTATTTTGACCCTCTACAATTCACCTTCAAACTTGTCACAAATTACATGTACATAAGTTATGACAACTATAAGGATACCTGTATTGGTAGAAAATTTATATGGTGCTGGTACCTTTACGTGCGGCTTGCACTTGTGCATGTGTTTTGACCCTCTACGAATTGATTATAATGTATAAACTTATTGAAGTTAAACATTAATAATATTTACTGTTGTTCTGCAAGTCTCACCTTCCATGATGGAGTCAGCCCTTGCGAAGTACACATACTCGAAGATACAGAAAGCAGGAGGGTCCTGATTGGGTCTGGGTACGACACAGATGGACTCTACGCCATTCTTGGTGACTCTGACGATCTCTCCGGGTTCAACTTCTCGGTGGTACACCGCTCCGAGTGACTGGAAGGAGCAGGACTCTGAAGACACGACCCAGCCTTCTATGTCCTCTGATACGTTGTCGTAGCCATTTTTAACTGGGGGGAAAACAAAATACAATGATAATCAGGGATTTCTCCAGAAATTCTTAGGGGAGAGGTGCTCCCTAATCAGTTGATGAAAAATTATTTTCATGAAAACACTAATAGAAAATCCTAAATTTGAACATTTTGGGAGAGGTGCTAGGATTTTGAGGAGAGGGGGAGCACCCTTGTTTCATTGCTTGGGGAGAACCCTGATAATACATTTGTACGTACTTTAACTGTAGCATAAGTATGGTCTACCTTGCCTGATGGATAAAAAGACATTAAAACTGGATAGAGAGAGAGAGATCATTGACATGTACTAACCTGGACTGTTATAGCTGACCCCTGACATCAGCCTGCCTATACACAGCGGCCTGTTCCCGTAGGGGTCCCTCACCGCGTACACACACTCTCCCGTCATGATGACCAGCGAGTACGACATCAGCGTCTCGTTCATCACGTTACGGATGCGCGCCTGCCAGTCTGGGCCGTCTGGCTCACCGTCTATAGTATACCATTTGATTTATTGAAATTGTAACAATACAATACACATTGGGCACAGCCAGCTGTTGTTGGTGTTGTGTCCCACACATAGAAACAAATACAGAACAGACAGTACTCATTTTTACTTGAGTTAGGTGAGGAAAGTTGTGTAAATTGCCTTTCCCAAGGGCACAAGATCGGTGGCATTAACCATTCTAAACTTGTAATGATACTTGATACTTGATTAACCATTCTAAACAATGTTTAGAATGGTTTATTATGACATCAACTACATGTATATCACAACGGTCGCAGCCTGAAGGCTGAAAAGGCCTAGGAAACAAATATTGTGTTTCCTGATTCCCGACCGACCCTAGAAAAACCTGCTGACCCTAGCCTTTTTTGGGGGTGGACTCCTGTGTGTGTAAGGGACAATTTCACAAGCTGGTTAACCTTTTCTAGCTCCATGATTTGACACATGAGTGATAAAAAGTTGTACAACTTGTTCTCTAACATTGACATAAAAGTGTCCCGTCCTCATGCAAGTTTTACTTTATATAGATTATATAATAGATATCACTGAAGTCTAAAAAAAAGGAAACAAAAAAGATAATCCCTACCTACCGACCCTACTTCATTCAGGATTAAAACAGGAAACACAACATCTTTTTTCATAGGCCAAAGCGATATTAAAGACATTGATTGCCAACATTAAAAAACAATTTTCTACACAAGCTAAAATCAAAAGCCAAATTTTTACCTGATGGGATGGAGCAGAGGAGCTGTGTGATGACCTCACTGTCAGAACCTGTGGACAGGCCAACGCCTCGCTTCATCACCTAGCAACACAGAAATACACAAGGTCAGAGGTCAGCAGCAGTAAAAGGTACAATGTAGTCCCATAGACTGTTTCAGGCTGTAGGGGCAGTGGGCTGATAATATAAGTTTATATATACAAGTTTATGTACTAGAGTACATGTGTATATGATTGTCAACATGTGACCTGTATTTAGCCCAGTGATGCAATGTACAATAAAGGTCTTCATTCATTAATTCAATACACTGACTGTGTCTAGGACACAGAATTGGAGAGCAGAGGCCATCCCTCTCCTTCCACCGCCTTTTATCTTCCCAACTGAAGTCAGGTAATTTTATACCTGAATGGGTCCTGTAAAGTACATGTATAGTGTCATATCGGATTATCCAGTTCAATTTACCATGTCCAGTACCATCAAAAGAAGAACATCCCCCCAACCACCCACAATGGAACTGTAATCTGGCGTAAAGGTTCCACATACATTTGGGTAGATTGCTTCTGTAGAAAATGAAATATCTGGTACTGGACACAGTGCAGCAATAAGAGTGAGCTTGTATGTTATATTGTATCTTCACTTTAAATTTTAAAGTATGCTAAAAAACATTTGCATTTCCAACAATACAGAAAGATGGTACAAACTTTTTGCCTCAATGGCCCAGCATTGACCAGTTCCCCGTTGTGTGCCACGGCTATCTTCCCATGTATGGTGTCCACCACAAACGGCTGGCAGTTCACAAGCTCAGAGAACCCTGCGGTGGAGTACCGGGTGTGTCCTATCCCCAGGTTCCCTTTAATCTTGCTGAGGGTTTCGTCGGTGAAGATGGTGCTGACCATCCCCATGCCCTTATGTCTGGCCAAGATGTCGTCATCCTTGCCTCTACTAGTGACGATCCCGGCACTTTCTTGTCCCCTTGTTTGAAAACAGATGAGGAAAATAAGAAATACAGGCTTTTGACATACGCCAAGTTGGATTACAGTGAATGTCTGTTAAACACGCCAACGTGCTGGTACTTAATCAGTTTACCTGCCAACATCTGGTCACCGGGATTCATATGACAATTATTATGACGTCAATGAAAAGCTTCTACATAAATTATCATTCGCCACTAAGCGGCCAAGAGCGCGAATAAGCGGACAGGACGCGAAGATTACAACCGATGCTAGGAGGTGTTTATTAACAACATGGTCACAACATGGAGTCGGTGTTAGAACTGACTCATTAACATAATATATGCCAGGCACAGGCAGTGGCGATTATTAATATTATTACAAATAAATGATGCATACAATAGTATGTATGGTTGGAATGCCTGGTAGCAAGGTAAGATCTCAACTTTACATGAAGGTACACCTTTCGACTATATATAAATTTTATATATGATCTATATTGGCATAATGTATACAGAAAGACATGGATTGTTTATGCCCACACACAGACTACATTTTGTACTCCAGTTATCCCTAGACCATGTTGCATGTATATAAGTTAATATAACACCTCACTTCTCCAGATACCATTTGTATTCTTTACACTATATTTATCACGATAGCCCTTATAAAGTTTCACAAGACTTGTTACACTACCAAGAAAACACGCTATCATAAATTTTCAAGCCTGCATATCTACTGCTAAGTACTAGTGTAACCACCTGCCCCCCTCCCCATACTCAGAAAGACGGTCGACTTTCGCAAGACAACAAAACGCTGGCTATCTCCAAGTCCCCCGTACCTGTGTTGTAATCCTACCAGTCCCAGACATATAACATGCCCCACGTCCAGCTGTGTAGGCCAGTCTCCGGCGGCCACACAGGCGAACACTCCACACTTCTCCTGCAGCCCCCCCTCCTCTTCAACAAGCGCCTCCAGTTCCGCCATGTGGGTCGCACGCGATAAATTTTCTTCTCAAGACGATCAGAAAACTCGAGAACGTGGTCTTCAAGAGTCCCTGACGACCACTGGACCTTCCGGAATGAAGACTACTAAATTACGAGGCGTCTTTTGTTATATATTTTGATTGTCTTGAGCAGGGACACAGTTTACACCCTGGCCGCATGCCGGTCGCACCGGCCAAAGGAAAGTCAATGTTTAGTGGGTCATACCATTATTTGGGGGGAGGCAACAGGTATAATCTCGCATGAAATTCAAAATTCTGGTCATTTTCGAGGTGAATAATGTATTTAGTATTCAAATACAAATTTTTCATTCTTATAATGTATATACTTGTCATAGTCAAGTGCTTTGTAACAGGTTTACTATGACATCATGGCGGAATTTTTTCCAGTAAATTCCAATGTGGGATCGTCTGGGTAATAGGTCATATTATGGCGGGAAGCCAAGCGCTCAGAGGATCAAGGGAAGCATGGGTAATCTTCAAGCAGATGTATAGGGTCATGCTTCGTGTTTTCAAGGGGGAAGGAGGAGGGGGGTGGCTTAGTATTGTAAGAATGAATCATTAAGAAAACTCTAACCTGGTCAGCTATCGAGATGACTTCGCAGAGTGTGATTAATCAAGGCCTAATTAGGCCATGTTGAGTTAATTATATGGATGACATCCGAGCGCACATGAATTTTCGTCCTTAGAAAATCAAACTAACATGGTCTTACATGTACATACACTGAAATGTCCGAGTTCGTGTGCCGGATGCCTTCAGACTTTAAACCTGGTGTTTTTACTGTGATTGATCTACTTGGAACTAGTAGAAGAAGTATATGACACCCGTTTTATTTGCCGTCATAGAATTGTAAGGCTAATCTCCAAGCAGATCCCTCTCGGTGGCAAAAAGACAGTATCAAATTGGCCAGGCAGTATCCATTAGCCAGAGAAGGTTGCCAGCCACCGACGGGGTCAGGACAAAAATAATAGGCCAATATAAAAAGGTAACGATCATTCCCCCACAACCTCTGCTTGGAGAGTATTGTAAGGCCACCAGGCGATCATCAATGCAGTCATTTCTGACCAACATTAGCACCACGTTCTAACCAACATTAGCACCACTGTATCTGTCGTACACATTACCATGAACAGTATACCGTGTGAACTTGTGTTTACTTTAGTACTTTGTAAGGCCCTTGGCATGCATGCATAACGGTGAAGAGCGAACAAAAGCTAGCTTAAATTTTCCCTACGGCGACATTCGTATATGTATGCACACAGTAGTAGGATAACCTGGATAAGCCTACTGCCCGCCAGCCCAATGTACCAATGACATAATTTATGCTTTCTACTTTTACAAAATAACCAGATAGCCGACGCTGATCACTTTTCATTTGTTTTAATGAAACAGTGCACACTCTTATGTTCTTGTTTCAGATGTTTAGCAATTTGACGACCTCCACTCTGCTGAATGAAGACTATGTGTTCCGACTGTTAACTACCCGGCATTTCCGCACGGCCCTGTAGATATATATGGACATGGGATATGCCTCCGGTCACCATGTCATGAATAATACATACGAATGAACGAACCCTCGCTGTCACTGACGACACGACATGCTGCGCAGTTGACATGCATACATCCTGTTCTCAGTTCCACCTGTTGCTCATCCACAAAACCTGCGCATCGCTCTGTCATCGTTTGCCACTGAAAGTTTCTGCGTCACTTACCCGTTTCCGAGAATTCGTGACTCTGGGCAGAATACTGGAACGTGAGCTTTTTGTGGTGGTTACGGCATAACTTTGCCCCTGAACTGTTTACTTTGTTCACCTGCTTGGTGATGTTCAGGCATGACGGTTCCTAGTATCATACACTAGCGGACTTCCGCCCATCTACAAGTCACTTGTGTTTGGACCGTGTGCGAAATAGGTACGCAGATAAGTGTCCACGGACTACCCGTATTGTTCTTCTCCTTTTCTAGAGAGTCTCAAGCTGACGTTCTGAACATCTCCGTTGATAAGTAACACGGGTGAGTCTCTTTAGTTGTTGTTCTGTCAAAACATTAGACCACTGTTTCATAGAGACAGGCTTATTTTTAATTAGGCCGAGTTGGTGCGCAGTCGGGCTTGGTGCGGTTGGAGTTCAAGTAAGCTCTTAGCCAGACGAAGCGCCGAGACCCTGTCTTTGCCCACTTCAGTGGAAACGCAAAACTGATTCATAGTTAGTATATACTTCTGCATTTGTGAGTTGAATGTCTGATCTTTTTAACATAGTCGGACGGCTAGTGTTGTTTTACGTTGGACAAGAGGGCGCAATATACAGTGCAGTGGTACAGACCTGCGTGTGTATATAACATGCATGATAGTCAATCCCACTCACTATTAATGGTTAAGTTTTTAAATCCTTCTCACACCTTTCGGTATACAATGCGGCGTTATCTCACTTTCTGTAGCCGCAAAACTAGCAAGCACTACAGTGGATAATCTTCCGGCAGTGATGTGTGTTCAACTACGATCATATAGCCTTTCCTTTAGCTGCTGAAAGCTAAGTATCATATTTAAGTACTATGTACCACCGGGATCGAGCCCGCGGCCTAACCCAAGAATTACGAATTGTGGGCCAATGCTAATCTCCAAGCAGATCCCTATCGGTGGCAAAAAGACAGTATCAAATTGGCCAGGCAGTATCCATTAGCCAGAGAAGGTCCGCGGCCACCGAGGTTGGTGGGGGTAGCGACAAAAAAAAAAAAAAAAAAACGGCCATATATAAAAAGGTAACGATCATTCCCCCACAACCTCTGCTTGGAGAGTAGGTCAGTGTAGCACTTATTGAATGGGTTTTTAAAATGTTTGTGGGATAAAGTCACTTGGTAGAGAAAGAACATGGCTACGTCAGTGATGTTCAAAACTTCACCGAATGCGTACCCTAGTCAGACCACACCTTCTGTACAGTCTGTTTTTACATCAAATATAACGAATATTACATGTAGCATGGACTCTCAGTGCTGTTCATATTCATTTTAGCTTGCTCAATAGAGTTTTACAGATACACACATCAACTATAGATAACTTTTATATCATAGAAAGAAAAAGTCAAGTTGAACTGAAGTGTATACGTATGTGCATGGTAAGGTATCAATTTTGTATTAATTCTTGTGTGATTCATGTAGCAAAGCTTCCACTAGGCCCTCCTTAAGGGTTTTAGGATGGTATAATTCGGCAAACGGATAGGGCCTGGCTGACCAGGGGAGTGGGCCCGCCATTACGGTACGGGTTCTATTTCCTCCTGCGCAGGCGAATGAACTCCACAGTAGTTGGATGCACGCCGAGCTTCTGAGACGGTCCCCAGCAAGTCACATCCTCCTTTTCGTGGAACTGATCCGTCCATGTCGTACCTATATATACCTCTGCGTCACCTCCTCGCGAAATATTTAGAACTTTTGTAAGTTCCGTTACATTTATTACATTTGTGAAAGTCGAATCCTGCGGTAGAATTCCAGTTTATTATTTTATTAATGACATTTACATGATCTATGCAGTGATGTTCACCATACTTACACTAATGCATTATTAATGCAAATTAGACCCTTATTTGCTTGATTGGTATCTGTTGATGCACCACCTGACATAGCTATAGATTAAATATTTTTCTAGTGGTCTTCGTTTTCATTTATTTCTGTACAGGTACTTGCTTGTTTATATATGTTGGTCCTTGGTTGGCCCTTTTAGGTCACATTCTAAACATTCCGTATCCTCGTCAGCCGTTACCAAGTTCATCTGGCACTGTGGTTACGGTTAGATTGGTCCCAGGATAACAAAATACCACAACAAACATACAGAAGGAGAATTCTCTGTTATGTCCGCTTGATGTCAGGAGTAGTTGTTTTTTTTTCAGTCTGTCGCAATGGTAGATGTTGGTTGGATAAATATATCTATAGCTAGCTAATAATAATACTTCAGTTCATTGGTTGGGGTGTTATTACTGTTAAAGGAGATTAGGTGAATCTCTCTATACTTACTACAGACCTGTGGCTGTGTGAGGGAGGAAATTTAATTACTCTTATGTTTGCTGAAAGAAAGTAATATACGAATAAACAGAGAGTTGTATGGTAGTGCGCTATTTTATCAATGCATTCCAATGATCTCGATTGAATAAAAACACATGAGGTATAATGGAATAGTGTAGGAATATGGAAGAATATTGCGCCATGCTCTTTGGCATTGGCATTGCAAGACGGCCAGTGCCAGTGACAATTGTTAAGCGGGCCCAAGTTGTGCGTGACGGCGACGTGTATATTCATGCGTTGTCCTATCTAAGTATGGAGGACATCATTTCGCCAGAGTAACAGGTGAAGCGTAAGTGGGTTAGTCACGGCAGTGGGACAGTGTGGTTCAGACTGACAAAGAGCTCGTCCCTGTGATTATATCTAGCGGGGATGTGTGGGTGTAACACCGCCGGAACTGGAATTTTCAGCGGAAAGTGCTTTCTATGTTCAATGATCCATTTGATGACCCAAACGTGTGCAACAATATATCACGAGGAGAAAGAATTCAAGCTATACTGGCACGATTCTATCGGCGCGGTATTACAGCTCGTTTGGTGGTAGCTCGGCATGTGCTGTCGACAAAGGCAACTGCATGTCATTTGAACATTCATCAGGGAGCGCAAATGACCTGTAAAGCCCCTGTCACACATTCACGAATCTGGCCTCCCGAACACTAGCCGAACGCCCCCATGCCCAACCATGGTTACGAGTAGGTCGGCACAAAGTCGGCTGGTGTGACTTTGGCTAATATTTGGCTGCGCCAGCCGAATATTTCAAAATACTTAAAACATTCAGGGGTGGTTGGCTGTAAGTTAGCAGAACACCAGCCAACCATTCGGGAGTAAGTCAACAGTGTTATTGGCGTGTTTGGGGATCAAATTTGACTCAAGGCTCAGCACTCAAATTCGTCACGATTCGTATAGAAAAGTAGACGTGACCTAAATCTGGTCATGTTGCTCCCGAACGTCAGCCGAACCTGGGAACAAATTCGGGGAAAGGGCGCGAATGTGTGACAGGGGCTTAACAATTCTAAAGTCCACGGAAAACAACGAGCCCCTGACATTACGCCATGCGAGAAGCAAAGGAACTGCAGCGGTCGATGCGATGTTGCCAACTTCCGCTTTGAGCGGCTTTCGTGCTTTCAAAAGCAACTTTGACAAATCACTCACTGG